ATGACTTTACCCTTTTGATTAATGATAGAACCTCCCCATAAAGGATTATGCCCATTTAGATCACCCATGATGACACAGGGCTTTGGGAGCTGGTCGTACAGTGTCTGTAGATCATTACGCTGAAGATTTGAGGATGGAGGAATGTATAAGGAGCAAAGTGTGAAGGCAATATGCAGTGTAAGTCTAACTGCAACGGCTTGCATATTCGTGTCAAGCGGAACAGGACTGTGAACAACGCCCCTCCGCACCAAAATAGAAGCTCCTCCAGTAGCTTTATCTCCTGGAGGAGAAAAAGAATGATAGGAACTATACTGCCTTAATTCAAAGTTATCTGTATTTTTTAAGTACGTCTCTTGTAAACAAATTGCTGATGGAATATAATCTGTTGTTAATAACTGTAGTTCATTAAAGTTGTGCCTAAGCCCTCTGCAATTCCATTGAATTAGACTAGAATGATTCATGGTGGTTCTATAGGAGAACGCTCACGTGAATGTGAAGATGAGTCACCACTATTGTTGTGGTGTGAAGATGGGGTAACATCCATCTCAAGAGGCTCGAAAAAGTTATGAACATCTACAGATGTTTCAGTGACAGTTGGGATCTTTGTTGTAATTTTTTTACTTTGTTTTTTCTTTTGTTTTTTTGCCATTTCCGTTGAAGGTTTGTTTGGAGCTGACATTTCAGAAGATGGTATTTTCGGAGTTGGCGGTGATGGGGCCACAGCCTGAGTCACAACCGGAGATGTTGAAGATATAGCACCTGGACTGACGGAATGATTTGTCTGACTCTCGGATGTTGTAGTCAGAGGAACCGGATGCTCAGAAATTGTCCAAGTCAAGTCAGTCTGACATTCTATAGATCTACTGGTTGAATGGCGAGAGACCGTAACAGCAGCAGCAGCAGCATACGAATGTTTTGGTGAAGGTGTCCGGCTATCAAAGAGTTTTTTAGCATCAAGGTAAGAAACATTGTTTTGACATTTGATAGTCAAAATATCTTTTTCACGTTTCCAAAAAGGACAGGATTTGGATGACGCTACATGTTGACCCGTACAATTTATACATTTGAGGTCTGCTGTACAATCGAAACCGTCATGATTGCTACCACAACGGTGACAAACAGTAGGACGAGTGCATGATTTGGAGCCGTGTCCAAATTTTTGACATTTGTAACACCGGAGTGGATTGGAGACATACACCTCCACTCCGATGTTAAAATAGCCTGCCTTTATAGACTGGGGAATGGTTGAAAGTGAAAATGTGAACAAATATGTATTTGTTGGAACAATGTTCTCCCCATCCTTTCTAGTGAAACGCTTCACCGACGTGACGCTTTGTCCTTTTAGTTCCTCAAGAATGTCTTCTTCTGACATTTCCGCCAGACAACGTGCTCTGTCGCGGATGATCCCCCGACTCGAATTAAAAGTTCGGTGTTCAGAGACAACAACTTGCGTGTTAGCAAAGATTGTACATTGCAAAAGATTAATAGCCTGCTGTCTCCGTGCACACTCTACCAAAAGAGAGCCGCTCCTGAGACGTGAAACATTCTTTACCTCACCACAAATACCTTCAATGGCTTTACATATGGCAAAAGGGTTTATTTTTAATGGTTGTTCATTTAGTGCTTCGACTACAAGAAACCGAGCCCAAGAATTTAGTTTGGTGAAGGAGAAACATCTTCATCAGCCGAGAAAATCTCAGCTTCTAGACGTCTTTTCTTGTCATAACGGTTCGAACCAGATTGATTGTGAGCCATGATGAAAGTAATTTATTCAGCACCCCTGCTCCCCACCCACCATGGAGTGCTACAAAGAGCGATGTTTTCCTGCACCGGATCTCCAACATGCAAACATCAGGGATGCAGAGGTGTTATACTCCAGTAAGAACAACATGAATAGCTGTATTTGTCTATCAAATAAAATGTCAGGCTGGTTCGGCCCATGGCAAGAAATTGAAGACATACAGAACTCAGAGGTCGAAAGTACCAGATTGGCCCATGAGCCACCGCCTTCTGGCGTAAGACTCTAGGCAATTTATTCCATCAAAAATTGGTAATTCATACAAAGTATGCTTGGCCAAGTCCAAAATATACATTATAATACAACACAGGAGTGCATATACAATATTACGCACAGGGCCTGGCATGACCAGCCGATTGATAAGACCGGGCCCATCTTACCACCCGTCTAGGCGAAGTAAGGGTCGAAGTAGTGTGTTGGGCAAAGGAACACAGTTCCAGGAACCAGTGCCCTCAACTACCAGACTCCCGTCCTCCGCCGACACAGGGACGCAACCCACGGCAAACGGGCTGCCCACTTTGGTCGCCTCTTACGACCAGCAATGGGGTGCTGTGGAAATATTCTACCCCGGTTCCACACGGGGGAAGAGCTATTAGCGCTACCCAGCACTCACCACGAGGAGGTTGCTCTTCACGAGTGCCGAAATATCAAGAAACGTTATACCAAACCATACAACAAAACCTGTTTAGAAGTAAACATGCTGTACAGAGGTCGACTTTGTCGATTCCAGAGATTTTCAAAAGAATGCGCCAGGTCACACACACACACACACACACACACACACACACACACACACACACACACACACACACACACACACACACACACACACACACACACACACACACCTGTCAGCTGAATATGATGGATGTCCTACAAAAAGCATTGTGAAAATGTGTGATGCTCCTTCTTTCAGATAAAAAAATTCGAAAAAGTAGTAGTCTCTGGCAAATTTCTAAACTCGCTTCACGCCTCACATCACAGCTAGGCCAGGCAAACACTTAGAGCTATTTATACAGTGGGCTTTGCAATGTTTAAGACGGAGACAAAGGCGGGCGTCAGAGAAGGTGTGGTTGTTACACAAGCCAAAACATCTAGATTTCTCCGCTCATTGATTGGCATGCTTTACAACTACCTGATGTGAACTGAACGAGAATAGGTTATATTACAATCACGTTTACCGTCAAGGTAACACAGCTTCTAGTATTGCAGCTACTGTCGCTATGTTAAACTTTGTTGGATTGCGCCTTGTTCAGGGCTCAAACATATATCGCTTGCCCTTACCCTACAGGTTTGAGCGGGCAATCAAGGGATTATGTTACTGATGTGTACAAACCATTGTACGTACATGCACAAGCAATGTTGAAACGATAAACACTTGACTTGACTACTCGTGAGTTGTTCGCTAAGCGTGTTGCACGCCACTGACCCATAAGATGAAATCAAACGAACTGCAATGCATAGTATAATGTAAACACCATGAAACATCCCTTGTGGCAACGGGACATCAGATCAAGATCCCCTGTACTTCCTTGTCCCAGCTATTAACTTGAAGATGACTTTCCCGATGTTTATACACAAAGCAACATTAATGTTAAAAAGACTGACGTTCCGACATCACGAGAGCCTGTCTACACAACACCAACGTTGTTGTTCTGTCCCCTGGCCCTCCAGATCCCCAGATTTGAACCGAATAGAGCACCTGTGTGATGAATTGGATAGACGGCTACGCCAACGTCAACCACAACCCCAGACGTTGCAGCAGTTGGCTTTTGCGTTGCGGGCTGAGTGGGATGTGATTCTCATACTCGTCTCTTCCATGGGCAGGTCATGTCAGGTCGCTATCGATTCCAACGGGGGACATAAGCGTTATTGATTGTAGCTGACCTTCATCTTGGCCGTTTTCTATGTACCGATAACTGAGATGACTACAATCTCAGTTTATTAAACTGTGTAAGTTAAACAGCTCAGGAAGAGGTGAAAGAAAGGCGACTCTTGCTCAAAAGTTGCTTCATAAATAGGGTCGATCAGCGTGGGTGGCATGGGTAGCCAATTTGTTTCAGATTCCTTATTCGTATTCATTATGCTGAGTTGCGTCCCCTGGGCGTACAATGATCCTATGATCTTTGAATCCCAGAGTCACCCTGATTGGGATAATTGTTTCGTCATCATCATGGCCGTATTCGTGTGTTTCATCAGGGGTATAAACGTCAAAGATTTGCTTGACTTTTGGTCTTTTTCATATTAATCTGGTACACTTTGATAATCTGGGGGCAAGCGGGTAGCCTAGTGGTTAAAGTGTTCGCTCGTCACGCCGAAGACCCGGGTTCGATTCCCGACATTGGTGCAACGTGTGAAGCCAATATCTGGTGTCCCTCGCCTTGATATTGCTGGAATGTTGCTAAAAGCGGCCTAAAATAAAACTCAGCGATAACAATCTGACATACTCTCTCATTCATGTTAAGTGAAACAGGCAAAACAAATGCTCAAAGTATATCTGTGCGTTGAAATCCTAACGCGGTATCACTAACATATCAAAGGTACCAAATGAAGTGCTCTCTTTAAGCTTAGAAGCGTTTTCCCAATGTGGAATACAGTTAACCCCTGACCAACACTACATCAGTGTGTCGTGCTATCACAGACCAGCGTAGAATGGTAGAAATAAACGTATGATTGCATTTACGGATTAAATCAAAACAACAATATCCGTGTTACCGTTATCCGACCGGGTAACAAGTTAGACACCAGTGGTGACTATTAATGAATGAGAATTAACTGTAGACACAGTGCAAGTTCCCCAACAAATTAGACACCAGTGGTGACTATTAATGAATTAGAATTAACTATAGACACAATGCCAGTTCCCCATGTGTAAAGGCATGTTCCTTCTCGATGTGTATGCACACTGCCGGGTAGTTAGAAATCGGTGTCACAATGAAATAACCAAGAAGAGTGAGGAAAAAACGTGGAACTTAATGACTTAACGACTTAAACAGATCAAATATACTTGCAATTAACTACTCACGCAATGTACTACTTGACTAGTTCACTTTGTTATTTCCCATAGTTAAAAGTTAGTCATGCTTAGAACTTTTTGACCAGCCCTCTTATAAACACAAATGCCATGTCATACTATATTAAGCTGAAACCTTTGTTGGAATTACACGACTGTTTAAAAAACCTACTCACTGACAATGTTTCTTCTAGGGTCAGCTCCGATTGTCAGTCGACTCACAACTCTGCCCTGTACACCGGCAGTATCTGATTTCAACCCAACCTCCGACACCTACTACTGTGACATTACCAAGCCGGACTATGACAGAAAATGGAGATAGGTAAGTCAAGAGCAATAGCGATAATTATTTCAGTGCATTTATTCTTACTGATATTCTTATTCTATTGGTTATTGATTACAGAATATGTCGGGCCCTTTTATTCATAATGTGTTTCACTATGAAAGATGGAAATATTATAAGAATTTCCGAGATTATTCAAGTGTGCATATGAACAGTCCTTCCAAGTCTCTGTGTGCATGTGCATTGCTCATTCAAATATATGTGTGCATATGCATGGCTCATCCTAGTTTATGGGTGCATGTGCGTGGCTCATTCAAGTCTATGTGTGCATTCGCGTGGTTCATTGAAGTATATGTGTGCATGTCCATGGCTCATCCAAGTTTATGGGTGCATGTGCGTGGCTCATTCAAGTCTATGTGTGCATTCGCGTGGTTCATTGAAGTATATGTGTGCATGTGCGTGGTTCATGCAAGTATATGTGTGCATGTGCATGGCTCATCCAAGTTTATGGGTGCATGTGCGTGGCTCATTCAATTCTATGTGAGCATGTGCGTGGTTCATTGAAGTATATGTGTGCATGTGCGTGGCTCATTAAAGTATATGTGTGCATGTGCGTGGCTCATTGAAGTATACGTGTGCATGTGCGTGGCTCATTGAATAATGCGTGTGCATGTGCGTGGTTCATTCAAGTCTATGTGTGCATGTGCGTGGCTCAATCAACTTTATGGGTGCATGTGCGTTGCTCATTCAAGTATACGTGTGCATGTTTCTGGCTCATTCAAGCATGTGTGTGCATGTGCGTGGCTTATTTACGTCTATGTGTGCATGTGCGTGGAACATTCAAGTTTATATGTGCACATGCGTGGCTCATTCCAGTATATGTGTCCACATGCGCTGTTCATTTAAATCTATATGTATGCACATGCACGGTCCATTTAAGTCTATATGTGCACATGCCTGGTTCATTCAAGCATATGTGTTCATGTGCGTGGTTCATTCAAGTATATGTGTGCATGTGCATGGCTCATCCAAGTTTACGGGTGCATGTGCGTGGTTCATGCAAGTATATGTGTGCATGTGCGTGGCGCATTCACGTCTATGTATGCATGTGCGTGGCACATTCAAGTTTATATGTGCACATGCGTGGCTCATTCCAGGATATGTGTGATATTGTGTTTTAGGCAAGTAATCATAACACTCCATGGTTGAGTAGCCACGAGTCCAAAGAAGACGGTGCGATCCCGTTTGAGTTGTGTCTTGTTACATAGCCTGATCCCGTTTCACTCGTGTTGTGTTGCATGGAGGTGATTCTGCTTGGGTCGTGTCCTGTTGCATGGGGCTGATGCTGTTTAAGTCGTGTGTTGTTGCATGAAGGTGATTCTTCCCTGTTGAGGACGTTTTCTGATAGATGGTTGATGACACAGAGGTCCATGGATAGACTGTTGATGACAGAGACGTCCGTCCATAGGTGGATTGTTGATGACATGGAGGTCCACGGATAGACTGTTGATGACAGAGACGTCCATAGATAGATTGTTGATGAGAGAGACGTCCACAAATAGATGGATGATTGATGACAGAGACGTCCACAGATAGATTGTTGATGACAGAGACGCCCATAGTTTGATGGTTGATGACAGAGACGTATATACATAGATGGTTGATGACAGAGACGTCTATACATAGATGGTTGATGACAGAGACGTCCACATATAGATGGTTGATGACAGAGACGTCCAAAAACAGATGGTTGATTGCACATACCTATTTTGACAGATGGATGATGACACGTACGTACATAAACAGATGGTTGATGAAAAAGACGTCCATAGATGGATGGTTGATGAGGGAGACGTCCATAGATAGATTGTTGGTGAGAGGGACGTCCATAGATAGATGGTTGATGAGAGAGACGTCCATAGATAGATGGTTGATGAGAGAGACGTCCATAGATGGATGGTTGATGAGAGGGACGTCCATAGATAGATGGTTGATGAGACAGACGTCAATAGATAGATGGTTGATGACAGAGACGTCTATACATAGATGGTTGATGACAGAGACGTCCACATATAGATGGTTGATGACAGAGACGTCCAAAAACAGATGGTTGATTGCACATACCTATTTTGACAGATGGATGATGACACGTACGTACATAAACAGATGGTTGATGAAAAAGACGTCCATAGATGGATGGTTGATGAGGGAGACGTCCATAGATAGATTGTTGGTGAGAGGGACGTCCATAGATAGATGGTTGATGAGAGAGACGTCCATAGATAGATGGTTGATGAGAGAGACGTCCATAGATGGATGGTTGATGAGAGGGACGTCCATAGATAGATGGTTGATGAGACAGACGTCAATAGATAGATGGTTGATGACAGAGACGTCCAAAGATACGTAGATGATGACAGAGACGTCCATAGACAGATGGTTGATGACAAAGACATCGATAGATAGATAGATGATGACAGAGACGTCCATAGACAGATGGTTGATGACAAAGACATCGATAGATAGATAGATGATGACAGAGACGTCCATAGATAGATTGTTGTTGATAAGAGAGACGTCCACAAATAGATGGATGATGACACATACGTACAGAGACAGATGGTTGACGACAGAGACATCGATAGATAGATAGATGATGACAGAGACGTCCATAGATAGATTGTTGTTGATAAGAGAGACGTCCACAAATAGATGGATGATGACACATACGTACAGAGACAGATGGTTGACGACAGAGACATCGATAGATAGATAGATGATGACAGAGACGTCCATAGATAGATTGTTGTTGATAAGAGAGACGTCCACAAATAGATGGATGATGACACATACGTACAGAGACAGATGGTTGATGACAGAGACATCCATAGATAGATAGATGATGACAGAGACGTCCATAGATAGATTGTTGTTGATAAGAGAGACGTCCACAAATAGATGGATGATGACACATACGTACAGAGACAGATGGTTGACGACAGAGACGTTGATAGATGGTTGATGACAGAGACATACATCGATGCATATGTGAGGATGCCGCTTTCAAATGAAGCCTTGTCAGACTAAAATCGTGCGTATGAAAACACAGATCTATTGGCAGCCTGCGTATTCTTGCATAGGACAATGGCTCCCGGTAACCCATTAGAGTATTGTATAGTTCGACGTCCGAACAAAAGCGTATCAAAGACGATTAAATCTATTTCAGATCACACCTCATTCAATACAACACACACTAACCGCTTTGAAAGTGAGACATAATTATCGGTCACAAAAATTAAATGTCTCTCTCGTGTCATCATCTGGGGCGAAGTCTTCAGCCAGGTCCAAGTTCTGAGTATACAGGTAGTCGTTCGTAATAAATATGTATTAGTGGTGGGGGGATATTTCAGCAAACTGTTACATAAGCACAACTTCGAAATAACTAAAATCCGGTTATTACATTCTTTAAAAAAAGAAACGCAAAGCCACATTTGTGTGAGGTAGGAAAATACATTCATACGAGGAACCGTACAAGGCATTCAACCAAAATGTTGTGGAGAGAACACTTGGTGATTGTAGTCATCTCAGTTATCGGTACATAGAAAACGGCCAAGGTGAAGGTCAGCTACAATCAATAACGCTTATGTCCCCCGTTGGAATCGATAGCGACCTGACATGACCTGCCCATGGAAGAGACGAGTATGAGAATCACATCCCACTCAGCCCGCAACGCAAAAGCCAACTGCTGCAACGTCTGGGGTTGTGGTTGACGTTGGCGTAGCCGTCTATCCAATTCATCACACAGGTGCTCTATTCGGTTCAAATCTGGGGATCTGGAGGGCCAGGGGACAGAACATCAACGTTGGTGTTGTGTAGACAGGCTGTCGTGATCCGTGCTGTATGCGGTCGAGCGTTGTCCTGCTGGATACACCGTTGACGTTGGCTGCAATTGGGAAGACGTTTGGTAGGAGAATTTCGTTGGAGTGTCGTTGAGCCGTAAGATTGCCCTGGATATGGACCAAACCTGTCCTCCCATGATGAGAGATAGCCGCCCACATCATAACGCTACCCCCACCAAACCTGTCCACTTCATATACGCAGTTTCCGGCGTAACGTCCTCCCCGACGTATGTAGACCCGTGCTCTTCCATCCCCTCGACGGAGGGGATCATTTTGATCCTGGTAACTTGTCACTGACACTATTACACATTAAACATCTCTATTTTGCACCTTTTGGTACGCTAATTTTGCTTTTATGGCCACAAATATCCGTTTTGAGTTTCCTTTTCTGAAGAGTTTATATAAATGTCATCCCTACAATGGGAGATGTCATGTTGATTTCGAAGACTTGTCACGCTGATTTCCGAGAAATGAGTCTAAACGGTGCAAATACGTACACGTAACAGGTTATTATGAAATTTAAACATGTAGTATTTTGGGATTATTTGAAAACATCTTTTTGAAAAACTATATGTGTTTTGAACCTGTATTAGTGTATATTATGAGTATTCTAATCTTAAACTTTAGGAATATTTGTCACATTTATACCTACCTGTGACCCCTTTTCGGAATGTTAAGATATTGGACCTTCGTACCCATGTGCAATTACGGGTTCAAAGAGCACTGCACAAAGCGCACTTGTCGTCATGGTTGATCGCGCTAGGACAAATTGAAATAATTTGTCGAAGCTACATTTGGACTATATCAAATTAAAACAAATGAGTAGGTTTGTCTCCTAATGTAACCATATATTTTGTGTTGTGTTTGGTTTGTGAGGAAAAGTTCTTCAAGGGTAATTATTTAAACATCATTCAAGTGTGCTTGTAGGTTTTAACGTCTAACAATATCAGGAAGTTACCGCAGTTTCATAATTTGTCAGTGACACGTTATGCAATGCTCTTGATAGCACCCGTCTTTCTGTTTCCCGAGACATACCGAGTGTTACCCAAGAAAAACACACCGGGGCCTATTCAGATGTGTATGACTCAGACGATCACTTCCCGGTCAGGCAATTTCCATGTCGTGTCTGCTTACTGAAGC